GAAGTTAAGAAGCATGACAACGAGAAGAGCTGCTGGTTCGTCGTGAAGGGTAACGTCTATGATGGCACTCCCTATCTGCAAGACCACCCTGGGGGAGCTTCCTCCATCCTCCTTGCCGGTGGTCTCGAGGCCACCGAGGACTTTGAAGCAGTGCATTCCTCGCGTGCTTGGGAGATGCTGAAGGACTACTACCTCGGCCCATTGAAGGCAGCTCCGACAGAAGCTCAAGCTGCCTTAATTCTACCAAGCTTTAGCAGAGTGCTGCTTAGCATTCTTTCATCGCCGCTGTGGGGCCTGAGTGCTCTCTTCACGCCTTTCAGTGGTCTCCGACGAGCACTCCTCAAGCCTTTCAGGTCACCCGCACCATTCTTGAATCCCCGAGAGAGCCAACAGCTTGAGCTTTCAGAGAAGATCGTGGTGAGCCACGACACTCGAATCTTTCGCTTCAGGCTGCCTGCTCCGTCGATGACACTGGGGCTTCCCACCGGCATGCACATGACGCTAAAAGCCAAGGTGGATGGCAAGCCGGTGATGCGGGCGTACACGCCCATGACAGATGACAACACCAAGGGACATGTCGATCTGCTTGTGAAAGTCTACTTCAAGGGTGTGCACCCGAGCTTTCCGGAGGGTGGCAAGATGTCTCAGCACTTGGACAGTATGAAGATTGGGGATTCGATCGATGTCAAGGGGCCCATCGGCGAGTTCATCTACCAAGGCAAGGGTCAATGCCTTGTGAATGGCAAGCCGCGCTTTGTGACTAAGATGTCAATGATCGCTGGCGGCACCGGCATCACGCCGTGTTACCAGGTGCTGGCGGCAATCCTCCGGAATCCGGAGGACAAGACCATGGTGCGACTTCTGTTCGCCAACAAGACGCCCGATGATATCCTTGCACGAGATGTGCTTGAGGAGTTGGCAGCCAAGCACCCTGACCGCTTTATGCTGAGCTTGACCGTCGACAAAGCCCCTCCCGCAGCCGAGAACGTGAGCCCCTCTGATGAGAAGACCTACACCTCAGCGTGGAAAGGTCACGTGGGCTTTGTGACCCCTGCCATGACCAAAGCTTGTTTGTTTCCTGCCAGCGAGGACACCGTATGCGTGATGTGTGGGCCTCCGGTGATGTTAGAGAAGGCTTGCATTCCAGCCTTGCAAAGCATGGGCTACGTGGATTCCAACATCTTCTCCTTCTGAGGTCAGTGGCTCTGTAGGTGGGGCTGGAAGGAGGCTTGAAGCTTGCTTCTAATTTCGGTCCCAATAGAATTTGAAATTTGTGGTACAGGACGCGCCTTAGTAACCTTTGCATGGAGTGCAAGGTTGCAGGCACACGAGCATCACGCTCGCCGAACGTGATGTCTCAAACCTCTCATGTCGTGGTGAGGGAAAACTGCGATTCGGGGTGGCCTGGTTTCTTTACAGATATTGGGTAGTGGATGAGCAGTCACTTCCCGCAGCGGAGACCGAACTATGCGGAGCCTTGCCTGCCTTGTGCCAGCGTGAGAGTCGAAACGCTACACCCCTAAAGCCATTAACAAACCGTATCTATACACGCAGTGTGCCATGTACAAGATGCCGTGTATGTACCTGTACGCTACTGTTCGTGCTTGTACTTATATGTATACATACATACATACATACATACATACATACATACATACTTACTTCCTGACTTACGTACGTACGTACGTACGTACGTACATACATACATACATATGTATATCTGCGGTATATATATATATATATGTCTTTCTCGCTCGCTCTCTCTCTCCCTCTATCTCTGTCTTTCTCTCTTTCTCTCTCTGTGTACCCAAGCAACCGAGGAGGAGGAGGCTGCTTGGAAGTTCCACATTGTACCCTCCGCCGCATTGTGCAAAGTTGATAAGGTCAGGAGAGCGGCGGAAGTGTTTGTCATGAGCCAGATTAGGTGTTCGAACTCGAAGTTGTTCGAAACTACATGAATCAGAGGTAAGTGGAAGAGAGGAGAAGAGCACATAATGATGGAAACCACGATGAATACAGAGCGCAGCCGAGGCAGAGTCTGCTTGAACTTCGAGACCGCCTTCGGAAAATGTGGTGCTGTGAGCAAAAGAAGGGCGCCAGACACCAGTGCAGCAGCGGAGTGCAGATAGATTGCAATCCAAGCCGCAGACTTCCATGAGGACAGGAGTCCTCGTGGTCATTGCCAAGCTGGCTAGTTTGCAGTGCAGGTTGTACGGTGTAGTTGACCACTGTACCCTGAGTGCATGCCCAAAGCCGCGCCCGAACCCTCCAGCTCTGTTGAGATGCATTCGGAATCATCGGAGCATCGGGAAGCGTACACTGGACCTTCGCAAGCTTTGTTGGAAGGGGAGCTTCGCCTCAAAGCTTTGGTGATGGTCAGGGTGTTTGCGGCACCACCTCCGCCTACCTCTTCTGGCCAGCCTCTCAACATGGGAGTTTCCGAAAATAAGGGGTATCTTGTTTTGGGGTCCTTATAATAAGGATCCTACTATTTAGGGTACTATATTGGGGTCCGCTATTTTTGGAAATCCCCACATCTTAACTTGGGCTGTAGACCTGAAATCCGGGTGATCTATATCTAAAACCCGCACAGTCTGCATGAAACAGCAGAGGTGCGCGAGTCCGGATGCTGCCAGGACGGCAGGGTTTGATCTGTCGGTCTTCGGGTGGTTTGGCATACCTGACTGGCCAGGAGTGAGACTTGTGCTGGCTCCGGATCACAGAGCAATCAGGACAACTCAGAAGCCAACCTTCCCGCTTCCCTGGTCACATCTGCCAAATGAGGACTTCGCTGCAGGTTGCGGCCTCCTCGTAGTCGGGCATTCATCTCGGCTCTTTCGGTGCCGGGTTGCTTGATGCCGCAGAAGCGGACTTTCCTTGCTTTGATCCCAGGGCATTCTTCCTTTGCCTGGCGTGTCAGATGAGCGCTTGGATGGAAACTGTTGGGCGCCCAGCCCTGCTTCTCAAATTCGTCGGTTGGCCCTTTTTTGGAGGGGGTACGGTACTGCTTCGGTCCCAGTAGGTTCACTATGCTGCTGCTGGGAGTGCACGCTAACTTCGACTCTCACATTTCTGCTTTGCGCAGAGTTTCATAAGGAGGAGGCTGATTCCCACCCAGCAGTCAGCAGTAGCTGTGTTGTGTAGCTGAGAACCGAGAGACCGAGTCTGGCAGAGTCCGAGTCGCGAGAGCATTAGGACTTATGCTCTTTCTCATCTTCTGACAGAGCTTGTGTACGGCTTGCAAGGCCGTGAAGCTGATTCAGTGGCTGCGAGCTCAGCGTCACGGTGAGTCCACCCTCTTCGCTCCTTGCAAAGTGTGGAACATCCCCACGTCGTCCGAACCAGTTCTGCCCATTCTACCATTCCCCTGACTCCTTGTGGTCCTTGTGATAGCACGCTGGGATACTGAGTCTCGGGGCCTGAAGCCCCGGAGCCTGCTTAGGTCTTGCAAGTGCATCTTGCATACGCCGAGCCTTTTCCTGGCTCCTCCAATCATCGTAGCATTTCGAGGCGGGCCCGGCGTCCGATGGTCGATTCTACCGACTCCCTTCCAAAAATGACGCAGGCCTGGCAACCGTGTGGGGAGTCTATGCCACGGCCTCAGGCTACACCTTGCCTCTGCCTTGCAGATGCTACATGACCCGAAAGTACCTAAAGCTGCGACGATGCATTGTGCTTCCTCAGGTTGCCGTGCTGCTGGTAACGGCAGGCACAGGGTCTGCCAGAAGCTCTCCGAGCTCTTCTTCCGGACGTCTGGTTCAGGCATCTCGAACTACAAGTGGTCCCTGAACTACGACATAGTAGACCAGGCCATTGCCTAGAAGTGTCTCAAGACGAGCTGCTCTTGCTGACCGGATGCAACATCTCCAGGACTTTGCCAGTTGGCGTGGGAACCGGCAGTTCGCCCTTTCGCCAAACGAGTGGATGTTCTGGGCTTAAGTCCGTCTGGCTGTTATACCGGTCGGATCACTGATCTTCTGTCTGAGGTGCTTGCTCTTTACCGTTTTAATGAATATCTGGGTGCAAGGCCTCCTGGCCGAATTCATGCGGCCGCCCTCGTGCCCCGTTCTGTGTGATGTGGCAGGGATCATCTATGCCTTTTGCGAGTTTGTGACTGTTTACACCAGCCGCGAGCCCAGTCCCAGAATTAGCATCTCTTGCAAGAGAAGGCGTGGATGCAGCATGTCTTATCATGGCCGAGATTGAGTCAAGTTTCTGTTGGGTTCGCAGCTTGCCTTCTGCCGCTCCCCCCTTCAACTTCAGGTCAGATGTGGTACTTCTCTGGGGGCATGAGCTCCCTTGCAGCAATATCTCTGGCACTCTCAGCTATCCTTCTACGGGGCGACTTGGTGCAGGTAACCAGGGGTCTGCGCCCGTTTTCTCGCTCTTCAGGTCCTGGCCTCCGGGTTCCATGTGGGTGGTTGTCAAAATTATGGTCCCCTTTTGGGTGCTTATTATAATACGTCACCTATTATTTAGGGTACCCCAAAAAGGGACCCTAATTTTGACAACCACCCATGTGAAGCTTTGGTGCACATCTTTTTTTTTTTGGTTTCTCGTGGCCAGGGCCTGCTGGGTGGCGGTGCGCTACCACCTGGGAAGTGGCTTGCTTTACACAGCGGTGCGAGGATGCACTGTCACCTGCCGTATCCAGTCAAGCAACTTTTTGAGGCATCATAGCTGGCGGCCTCAAAATCATGGTCGTGCCACGCCAAGTGCTTCGACTGTGCTGCAGCATGGCTAGTGGCTTGTGTTCCGATTTGAGGCCACGCCTTTCCACTTCACCTTGGGCTGGATAGATGCAGCCACCAAGTCCAAGGAGACAGCACTGTTCCTGTGCCGAGCGTTGTGGCCGTGACCCGAATTGCGTACGTGCAGCTGTTGTTGTGTCTGTGAGTACAATCCGGTCGGCAACATCCTCGGTGGTTGCTGTGATTGCTGCCTCAACGTTTACCGCAGGCCGGCAACAACTCACGGTCTGTTTCAAGAGTCTCCCACGGACCGTGATTGATTCACCCTGCTGCGTCTCGGAGGGCTTTCGGGAACATGACGCGGCCCGGTGCTTATCTTCGGCGCCGTAGCTGTGCGAGAGAATAGAGACCAGATCTACCAGCACGTGGTTCTGCGAGGAGAGACGAGGGACGAGTGAACATTCTGTTGCTTTCTGAGACCAAGGCATGCTTTCCTGGACGTGAGCTTGCAGGCCATGCCATTCAACCAGGCGCGACGTGGTTTGGCCCATGAAGGTATTGCTTGGCGTGCCGGAATCGTGAGATTAGCACAGCCCGACTTTCGTCCTACAGAACGACAGGAGGGACACCGAAGCGATAATCAAGGACTTCTGTGCCAAGTGCACCTTCAAGTCACAATCCCGGTATCCTTTACTACGAATCCTTTACATATCATCTCCACACACTTCGCTGTTGAGAAAGTGCAGTGGCCATGCTGGTGCTGCTGCCGCCTCGTGAGCATCACGGGTTTTAATCTGCAGATCGGCAGGGGCGTGCAGAACGCGATAAGAGGCAGGCAGAGAGCATGATAAGCATTTCGGTTCTTAGGATTCTAAGGCTCTCAAACTCATCTCAAAAGACTCAAAACCAAGATTGCTATACTTCTACGCTTGCATTGCTGCCAGGCAGCTGAGCATGTTCGCGAGATCCTAGCTCAGGAGGTCGACCTCAGTGCACAGCTTCTCTTCGTGACTGTGCTTCTTGCGAGCATATGGGGAGTTTTCTAAATTAGGGTCCCTTTTTAGGTCCCCAATATAATACGGCACCCTTATAAAAAGCACCCTAAAAGGGACCCTAATTTAGAAAACCACCCATATGCTCGCCTTAGACAGAACCACCTTACGGGTGATTGGATGTCCATGAAATGGCCTTGTGACAGTCCACCGCCTTCTCCTTGCTCACGGGTGCCTCTTGGCTTCTGCAGATCGTCGGGCTAGGCCTGGCCGGAGGGCACCGAGAAATCTGCTTAAGTTGGTTTAAATGATATAAATGTCGATGATGTAAAAGCAACAAAAATATTATATTTGGCTGTGGCTCTGCCAGGTCTCATTGCGGTGGTTGGCCATATCGTGGTGCAAGTGGCGATCCAGGCTCTTGTGCGTTGACGCGAAAGAAACTACTTGCAGATGTTTAACCGAATATAGAGCGTCGACAAGCTTCAGCTATCGTGACCTGCGGCGAGCTCATTGGCGCGTGCGTTGCTGTCAGACGGATCCGGACTTGAATGTGCCGACCAGGCCGGCTACAGAGCATTAATCCCTCACCATGTGGGGGTTTCCAAAAATAGGGGACCCCAATATAGTACCCCAAATAGTAGGATCCTTCTTTTCAGGACCCCAAAACAGGGTACCCTAATTTTCGGAAACCCCCATGTTGTCACAGAGATCTCTTCGTCCCGACTGCTGATGACTGAGTCCAAACTTCGTTCAGCGGCCTGAGCTGCTTAGCTTCGCAGGGGCGAGGTCCTCAAATGAGGGTTTCCTACGCCTGGGACACTACGTGCATTGCGTCTTTCAACCAAGAGGGGTCATTACCTTAAGAGCTTCTTATAGTAAGCGTTCTAGCATGTTAGGGTGTCTTATCTTCCACACTTCCCACATTGTTGCCGTCAAGGCTGTTTCATTCCCGGCCTTCTTCGACAGTTCAGGTTAAAGGATGCGAGGAGTACTGCCAGTCTGCCTCCCGGAGCTAAGGCAGCCCTCGCGTTGTTCATCGGGTTCCCGTTCATGACGCTCTTTGACATCGTGTCATAGCCTTATCGGCATGAAGTGGCACAGCAGTCCGTTGCATCGAACTCGCGGCCTTCGTGACGATTGGCAAAGGTCAGACTGCATAGTCTTTTGCCGGACAATGCAGAAGATGAGGCTGTATAATATACTATAGTGCATTATTCTATATCATATTATGCTATATTATTGTCTTATACTGTATTATATTCTGTTATATTATATTTTCCTACTATACTATAGCATTTTATATTATACCTCCATTCTGCTCCCGCAGCCGGACTGAATGCCATTGTTGACCATCCCTGGGCCCTTCCGAAGCGTGTTCGGCTCGATGATGCTCTGTTTGAGTCACATACTATCCATTTTTGAATTTTTGGTTGTAATAGTTCATCATATAAAGTATTATTATCAATGGTTTATGGCATGGGAGGCCTTTACCACGGAGTTATAACTCCTGACTCTCAGCAGCTGAGTTTTGTTCAAAGTTCATGTTCGGGAAGGCCCACCTTAGTCTTCATACCTGCAAGGCGACGAGAATTTCATTGCTCAGCGCTGCGGACACGCAAGCTTTTGCACAACCACCCCAGGTCCCATCCACCCATGTACTGACCCCTACTCGATGGGCAATGCTGGGCGCGGCAGCTCCACAACACCTTCATGCTTTGGCTACCAGGCTTGTTTGTGGCATTTCTCAAGTATGCAAGCTGTCAGATAGGCCACGACGGTGGAGGAACGGCCAATTACATTTATAGGAGGGTAACTGGGAAGTTAAAGACAGTGGCATTGCCGATGTTTCAGAAACCCGGTCTCCCGAGGCCTGGACATCATCCTGTCTGCAAGAAAACTTACCCAACTGGGTCTTTCTTGCTCAGCACCTCAGGAGCAGTGAAAGTGCATGATGCTTCCCTGTCTCGGCAGTATCCCCTTAGTAAGCCTTCGTAGGTAAGGAAGTATAGGCTTGGACCACACCTGCACACAGGTCTCCGTCACAGGCATGCAAGAAGAAGAAGACAGCTCGCAGGCGCTTCTGGAAGTCCTAGTGATCAGCTGCCCAGCCATTGAATTGCAACTGCCGTCTCGCGCAGGGCTCTGTGGCCACGGCACCAGAATGGTCCAGGGAAGCAGCGCACGGTCCTGTGGCCCGTCTGCTCAAGAGCGCAGAGCACGCTTGTCCTTCCTGTTAGATTTCCAGATTGAAATTTGCTACCTTGATGTGCTTCACATCCCAGCTGTGCCAAAGGCATGACCGTGATAGCAGTTTGCGACGGAGGTGCGGAGCTTCCCTTTTGCACCTAGAGTTGTCGCCCTATGAGCATGCAGCATATTAGTGGGCTGCTTCGTAGCCGTTATGCTCCTCGGTTTTGTGCTGGGTTGTTGTGCTGCGGGCGTGGACGCTTGATTCGCCAGGTTTCAGTTTGCGAATTCAAGTGGTCACGTTCTGGGAATGCAAGAGAAAATTATGCCAGGAGCCCCTGCAATACTGTCACACTCGTGTCATGTGCAGATGCGGCAAGCTCCTGTCTTTCTTGGGTGCGCTCCTGTGGCGGCGCCGCCGGCGGGCAGTCTTGGGCCGGGAGGACATGTGCGAGCGGAACTTGCAGGTTGAGTCTGTCGAAGCTGATGCGTGGAACCTGCAATAGACCGGAATTCTCTGTGAAGACGGGGGCTTCAGGCTTGCAGGAGGGTGAATCTTTGGAGCTGCTGCAGGACCAGGCAGGAGGCAAAGGATCCGATGCAGCAAACCCATCCGTTTTGACAGACACGCAGCTGGGCGCAACACCTTGAAGACTTTGCAATGGTAAGCAATCGGCCAAGCATAGTTCCATCGTGTTCGGTTTGATGCTTATCATGATGCGGAGAACTGAGGATTTGTTTGATTCCTGGCAGCACGCCGGTGACTCGAGTCGAGGACGCCCCAGGAAATGCACGTCGGATCTATACTGGCATCGACATCCGTGCAAGCGTTAACGATGTTTGGGAGGCCCGGCCTCGTTGGTTCAGGGGAGGTAAGGGAGGGAAACCCTAAACCCTTGTGCACGCTCCTATGAGCGAGTCTTCTGACCTTCCTGCGAGAGAAAGGGGGCTACTGCATTTAAAAAAAACCCTCTCTGACCGCATACTGTATGCAGTTGGAAAAAGGTGTCAAAAAAAAACCTAAAACCCCAAAAAAACCCTAGCAGGGCTGCTCCAACGAACGCAGGTGCTCACCGACTACGAGGGCCTGGCCCGAGTGGTGCCCAATCTGGCGGAGAACTCCATCGTGGAGGGCCCCGCCCCCCGGCCTTGGCGTCTGCTGGTAGCTCTCTGCCTATCTCTATCTATCTGTCCATTTATCTAGCTATCTCTCTATCATCTCTATCTATCTCTCTATCTATCTATCTATCTATCTATCTATCTATTTATCTATTTATCTATTTATCTATCTATCTATCTATCTATCTATCTATCTAAGTCTATCAGTCAGGTATATCACTCCGTCGATCTGTTTGTCTGTCTGTCTGTCTGTCTGTCTGTCTGTCTGTCCTTCTTCTCTAAGATATTCTAATCCAGTCTAGACTAGTCGAGCCTACTGCACTCTGAGCAAATCGAATTGAAGCTAATCTAACCTGTGCCATCTAATCTGCCACAGCAATCCACATCCTCTATCCACCCACGTCGTTTGTATGCATCACGCGCATAATGCATGTAACAGAGACCCACCATGCGTAGTTCATTATAATCATTCATATGCATTTGCATACTATGTACCCACTTACATAGCATCACCGTGATTGAGGGGCACGCATTGCAAACCTACCCACATCGGCTTCGACGGTGAGATGCGGCTGTCGGCGTTGAAACCCAAGATGGAGGAACCTTGATGTAACACCCGGGACCAATACCTCATGATCAGGATCGGCAGGGTGGTGCTCGCCTGTGGCAAATAGGCAGCGAGCCAACGGGATGCCATTCAGTCCTCATGCTATGGTCCAGTGGTCGAAAGTGGCCTTGTCGCAGTCTGCATTTGCCACTCCAACTCTCCCTCTGCACTGGTGGCCTGGTTTTCAATCTGGGAGTGCTGTTCGGCAGGCCAGGCATCTTGGACGATTTGCGGCAAGACTTTCCACTTCCAAGCCGGGATGACGCTGGATGTTCGACTGCACCCCGAAGGAGTTTGCAGATCTGGCGTGAAGGTCGGAAGAGAGCTTCGTGTGATGCCCCTGGAAGCGGTGCGGCAGTGAAGCAGAGCGAACACCCTATTATATGTTGTTGATTACATAGTATGAATGTATGGCATAACATGTATTGTATACTGCATATTATGCAAAAAGCATAATGACACCCGTCCCGCCCTCCGCGAACAAGTTCGCAGGTTTGCGGGGAAAGAATGGATGCGGCTCACATGTTGAGCTCAGAGGCCCCTGCAAGGGATCTTGAGTCGAGCTCTGCTAGCTCTAGTCAGACGTCAGGCTCCGGTCTGCAGACTTGGCATTGGGCAGGTCAGAGCTCACGGCAGGAGAGAGAAGCTTATCCGGGACGTTTTTCCCAGGCACGGGAGTGCACCTTGACCTGTGAGTGCTTCGAATCTGCTGCTCGCCACAGCGCCCATCGCGTACCTTTGTGCACCCCCTGGAAGGCCATTCTCGGTTGCTGCCGAAGGAGTTCCGGTTCGAGCTGCCTGGTCGGATTCAGAGCCTATCCAGCTTGAAACGTTCTCTCCGAGTCATGGAGGGTTGATGGTTGACGACGCGAATCTGTCTGACTGCAGCTTCATGGGCGACCACATCTGCTTCAAGCCCTAAATTCTATGATTCTTATTGGCAGGTTCGGAGGTGAAAATGGGGTGCTATTTGTTGTCATCCGTCGGAGGCGAGTGTAAGTTTCACGCAGCCGACCTACGCAACAAAAGCCTCGCCTGGAGTGTCCGAGCTCTGAGCTCCAAAACCCACATCTATACTATACTACACCATACTAGACTAGACTAGACTATACTATACTATGTCCTGTACTATACTGTACTGCCTCCAGGATATCACCATGCAGAACGTCCTCGGCGCACGTGGGGACTTCGTGCATTACCAGGGGGTATGGCGACTGCAGCCTCTCCAGGGCTGTGCCGGACCAGGAGCTGTCATAAGCTGTATTATATACATACATATGTAATATGTAGATACATATATAGAGATATGATAATATATATATATATATAAAGATAAATAGTATATATATATATATACTTACTATATTGCAGACAGCGACATTGTTTGATACTAAATCATATGGTAACATCGTGGGTTCTACTGTCTTGTGTGGTGGAGGGTTTACGATGTTTTGAAGGCTTTGGGGTCTTAGGTTTCAAGGCTTCGGTGCCGATACGTGACGTGGTACCGACCGAGCATTACCCAGCAACACCTTCAGGCGGCCCGGATGCGAAAGGCTTTAGGGCTTGAGGCGAAGGAAGTTTTAAGGATTTAGGGTTGGAAACGAGGCTGCCTAGTTTTGCAGCCAGCGCGGTGGGAAGATTTCCTGGTAGCCGCGAGCCGCAGCTCGCGTGAACGGCAGGAGAGGAGATGATGCGTCTGACATTTGCAGTCGAATGCCAGCCGCATTGGTTTCTCCCGGCGCGGTGCTGAGTCGGTTCGCGAGCCCATGCCTGTGGGAGTTTCGGAAAATCAAGGGCCTGGAACCCAGATATTAGCCCCTGCATCGAAGGAACACCCGTAAAGGGACCCCTGCACCAAGGGGTCTCCAGACAAACGAGTTCTGGGGCCCAAGGTCGCGCCAGTCGAGGGCCGCATCGCCACGGCCCTCGCCGAGAACATGGAGGCGATCCGCGACTTCGTGGAGGAACGGCTTGATGGCATGGAGTCGGTCACGGCAGCGTCCTTTCGGCTGCCTTCGGACCTGTCTCCGCAACAAACCCTAAAATGAGATGTGCACCGAAACATTTGACTAAAAGCCTTTACCAGTAGCCGTAAGCCTGGGTCCGAGTGCGAGTGCCGAAACCGGAAGCGGATTTCAGATGTGGGAGTTTCCGAAAATAAGGGGTACCTTATTTTGTGGTCCTTATAATAAGGATCCTATTATTTAGGGTACTATATTAGGGTCCCCTATTTTCGGAAACCCCTACGTCTCATGGGTCGAAAGCTCAGGTCGCAGCCTTCAGGGCCCGAAACGGCCAATGTGGGCCACTCCCGTCTGCCGTCGCAGTCGGAGTCGGCATGGCCCCAGTTGCCCCAGGCTAGCTCGTGGGAGCTAGATGGGAGATTTGAAGCTCAGAGCAGTGCACATCCATCATGCCAGTCTTGCTGTGGAGATACACGGAGATCCTTGTGTAAGATGCTAGACTCAAACGTGAATGCAAGACAGCGTGTATCAGCCACCAGCTGTGTTTCTCTAAATGCTCTACAAGCTTCTGTTTGCTTCGCGGAACATTGTGTATCAAGTGTTTGCCACCCCATTGTTGCCTCCAGCTGCCGTTATAGTGTTATCATTCGTGTCAATAGTCCTTTGGACTTGCCCCTATTGTAGTCAGAACCGTTAACTGTAAGTAGCTCGATTGCGAATCCTTCCTCCTCTTCTGCCTCTTCTTCTTACTTATGTGTGTGTATGTGCATGTTTGCATACGTAGCGTAGCGTATGTGTATAGGTACACACATGCACGCACACACTGATATGTACGTGTATATATATATACACACATAAGGACAACATTTAAATTTAATAATACTTAATAATATACACATGTAAATATTTACATGCATGCATGCAGGCAGGCAGACATACGAACGTACGTACATACACACACACACACACATATATATATATATACATAGATGTATCTATCTATCTATCCATCTATCTATCTATCTATCCATCTATCTATCTATCGATCTATCTGTCTATCTATGTACATATTTGTAGACATACTTACATGCGCCTTCAATGCCGCACTGCTGCTTCGTCTACCGAGAAGCTCTTGCCCCGTGCTACTAGTCTTGTCCACTGAGCCGCCAAGACTTGATTTGTGACACTGACACTGACAGGAAGTGGATTCCCTGGCTCGTGCAGCTCACTCCTTATGGGATTCTTTGTTTCCCGACACTGCCCCGCCTCAGCCGCAGCCTGCACTTGGTGTCCGCTGCTTCGCGCCGAGGACTCATAGGGTTCCAGCCAGTCGCACACTGCTTTCTTGGATATGGAGATAGGGCTTCGGGGCTTGGAGTGCTGAAAGCATTCAAACATCAGCAGAGCCTAGACAAGACTGCGGCGCAAAACGCAGAGTTGCATGATGCCTGGGTAGTCAAGTGCTGTATGCGAGCAAGACTTCGCAGCATTGTCTGCATGTGACATGCAAAAGACTGGGCACAGGGCATGTACACTGCAGCGCAACATCCGCTGCCGACCTTCCCTGGCTGTGCCGAGCCATTACATACATTGTTACATACATACGTACGTACGTACATACATACATACACATACATACATACAGATACTTATTTGTTTAGTGTAATATTTAAACCCTGATTGGAAGAACTGCCCACAGGGTTTCGAAATGCCAGGCTGAGCACGGCGATTCTCAAATCAGGTTTGGAAATTCGAGCATTTAGTAGACATAGACACCAACATGTCGTTTCAATCGTGAGAAAGGCGGATCGCTTTCTGGAGATGACGGTCAGGATTAATGACTTTGATGATCGGGCTGTACACCATTTTGAGACAAGCCCACTGAGAATACGGTTTGCAGGATCCGGACAAAGCAATGTTTGAGCAACGGGCATGGTCACCTGGGATAGGGAGAGAAGAAATGCTTGGCAGTCGGCAGGACGCCTGCTGGCAACGGTTCCCGCTTCAGTGGAATGGTGGCCGCACACAGTCGAGCACATGCATTGCCTCGAACAAGACGACGGGCCACCGCAGAAGCTTGGCAATACAAGCACAAGTTGTTGCAACCCTCATGTGCCTGACAAGGGGTGGTTAGTTGTGACCGCCGATCGACAGGCAGAGCTTTGGTGTATGACAGAAGCCGTCGCAGATGCCTTGAACCGAGCAGAGATGCGGCTTATGGAGCGGGCCGAGGCGAGAGGGTCGGGCCGAAGGTCAACAGGTTTATTTTTGTCACTTCAGTGCTTTGTTTTCTTGTTAGAAGTCTCTTTGAGATTCTTCCATGGGGTGGAAGGTCGTGATGCCGTGGAAAGCACGTGCTGTTGCATCAGGGTCACAGTGTTGCAGGTTGGAGTCGCGTCGGAAAATGCTGCTGGAGCCTTGAGCTCCATTGCTGCCAGCATGGCAGAGGCCAGGCTGAGACTTTCAACAGCAACCGATGCAACAATTGGGTGGTTGTCAAAATTATGGTCCCTTTTTGGGTCCTTATTATAATATGGCACCTATTATGTAGGGTACCCCCAAAGGGACCATAATTTTGACAACTACCCAATGCCAGAGGCATTCCACCTCGGATACTGGTGTCATCGGATGACTTCGGAGTGCTCGAAACACGAGAGATGGTAGACACACCAAGCCTCCAGCCATGCCGCATGCCTGGCTTGAGGCCCCGAAGGCGTGAGAGAGAAAGAGATAATATATATATATATAATATATATATATATATATATATATATATATATATAGTTATATTTATATTTATATACATATATATATACACATAGATAGACACTGATTATATGTATGTATGTATATATATATATATACACATGTAGGACATACACATATACCAATAGGGTTATGTGTTTTTCTGCGTATATATATATATATATTATTATTATTATTATTATTATTATATTCTCACGTTGATATACTGTGCCGCGGGGTGGGGGAGGGTTCCCTATGGCTTCCCCGTCTTCCCGGTGAGGCATCGGCTCCACTAGCCGCGACAGCGGAAACCGCTGCCATCACCGTGGCCGGACTCGAGGCCGAGACCGTGACTTCGCTGCACAGGGCTCGAGGTTTGGGGCTTGGGGGTTTAGGGTTTCGGGGTTTAGGGTGAACCGTAGCCATTTTGGCTCAAGGGCTGTCG